TATATAGGGCTGATAATAGCATTCAGGACCTCCTAGGTCCCAGTGTGAGTTATATAGCCACAATCTTCAGCAGGCCAAAGGAGTTCAGAGCAATCTGGGAGAAACCTACTCCTTTTGGTAGCTGATAGAGACACTGAACCTCACAGAGCGACCGACCACTACAGATGATTGTACAATTACAATAACTCTCGTGGATTTGTTACCTGTCTCCCTACTTCACTGTTGTGCAGATGCATCAGTTTATTGGCTTGTGATCCTGATTTTTTCATCTTCATGGGAGCATCTGAAAATTTGGACCCCATGATAAGACCATAGTTGAGGTTGTCTGCACATCCTCCCCATCGATACCCAGGTCCAGGTGTCTCACCTGGGATGGGACCACAGGAACAGCCAGGGAGGTCCCCGGTGGTGCAGGCTCTGGCAATGGTGTGGCTGATGGCAGCAGCAGAAAGGGCATACACAAAAGCTGACTCCCTTGTGCCTGGAAGAGACAAGAACTCCAGCTCAGCCTCCTGGGACAGCTAAATGCTCCTCAAAAAGAGACCCACAGAATCTGTGCCCCACAGAACAGAAAACACACCAACTCGCTGCAGCTGAGACCTCCCATGGCATCACCAACTTAAAGCACATCTCCTAAGAGTACTGGAATAGGCTCACCAGGGAGGTGGTCATGGCACCAAGCATGACAACATTCAAAAAGCATTTGGACAATGCCCTCAGACACATGGTCTGAATCTTGGGACTGTTCTGTGCTAGGGCAAGAGTTGGACTTGATGATCCTTGCGGGTCCCTTCCAACATTCTATGATTCTGTGATTCTAGGATTCTATGATAAGTCAGCTCTTCTACATGAGGAAACTTCCCAGCAGGTCAAGGAAGCACATGAACTTATTCAGCTTGTCCATTGTCCTGTGGTATGATGTGCTCTTGGAGCACGTGAAGAAGCCCCACCATGGAGTCTCCTGCCTCCTTTTGCCCCTGTGCTGGATGATGCCAGCAGGTCATAGAGCTGGCTTGCGTGGAGCTGGGGGAGGTGGTGGGAGGCTGGAGAGCTGCACCCCAAGCATACAAGGGTGCTCTGACACATAAGAGAGTTGACTGTGTGGTTTCACGTGTAGCACATGCTGCTTGACAAGTCTGCATGCCTTGAACAGCAGCTCCATGACTGTGAGCAAGCACACCAGGACAAGGAAAAATGCTTTCAAACTAAGAGAGGGAAGATTTAGGTGAGATATTAGGAGGAAATTTTTCATCTAGAGGGCGGTGAGGCACTGGAACAGGTTGCCCAGGGAAGTTGTGGATGCCCCATCCCTGAAGGCATTCAAGGCCAGGTTGGATGGGGGCCTCAGCAGCCTGATCTAGTGGTTGGCAACCCCGCCCACAGCCGGGGCGATGGAACTAGATGATCTTTAAGATCCTTTCCAACCCAAACCATTCTATGATTCTATGATTCATGTTCTGTAAGATCTGTAGGAGACCAGGTCTTGAACTCAAGAGCTCCTGGGCATGACTGGTACCATAACAAATGAACACAGTCTCAGAGAATAGGACCACTAGTCTATACAGTTCTTCTGCATCCCCCTTGGCAGCAAGACCCTTCCCAGCCCCAGCATGAATACACACAACGCTGGCTGGCTCTACTCACTCAAGTCCCCGGCTGAACCAGCAGTGCTGTTTACCTCTCTCTAAGTCCAATAGGTAGTTAGGAGCCAGCTCAATGGAAGAGCAGTTCCACCTCATGTCTGAGAAAGTTTTACGGCAGGTCTTTATCACTTCCCGTGCTGCCTGGATGATGGTCTGCATTAGCTCCAGGTTGCTGCGGCACAACTGAACCTGAGAAACCACCAACCCTTCGAGCTGCTTGCAGTGCTGGGTTTGATTCAAGGCCAAAGCTGAAGGAGTCTTGGACAAAGCTCTGAGGAGACAAGAACATACAAAAAAGGCATTAAAACCCGCTAAAAAGTTAATTTTCAGGTCAGTATTAATTTCTCCACTTCCTACAATCCAGCAAATACTTTGGCCTGTGTTAATCTGACTTAATTTTAGCTACCTGTAAGTACGTGCTTAGTTTAAGCTGGTGAGAAAGACAGGCAACTATGAAGAGTGACTTATCTAAAGTAGGTATTTAAGGTAGGTGGGAAGAAATGCTTTCTAGAAGTGCACATTTCTGTCCATCATCCAGGGAAGCCTGGACAAAGCTCCTGGGGCATGTGTCAAGTTGACTGAATGTGTAAATCCTTATGGGAAGGGGTTTTTTGCTAAAGAATGAAGAAGATGAACCTCTCAACAGAGTGAAAAATGACCCATCGGTTCCATGATAACAGAAAGCTGGGTCTTCCAAGACTGTGGTATTCAGAAAACAGAAAGAAAAAAAAAAAGTGAAGTTGGTGTTATCAGTGTTTTGCATTCAGCATCTGTCTCACACACTCTCGAAGGATTATGCTAAATGTCATGTAATTAATTATGGAGAAAATCCCCTGCAAGGCCTAAGGAAAAGCCACCAAGTTTGCAAAACAGATGCTTTCCTTTAGAGTCAATGCCAAGGGCCTCCACCAATTCCATCACTACTGCACGTAGACAAGTCTGTTTCTCTAATCTCCAAAAATGTAGCCCAGAAGCACAATGACAGCATGTGCAAAGAGTATCGTGGTCAAAACTGAGAAGGGATCCACTAGCACCAATCAGCACATGTATTACCATGGAAGAAACCAACACCACCCCAAACATCCCATTGGTTCTTCTAGTGTGCAAGTTTCCAAGTTAAAAAAACAAAGAAAAAAGCAAATGATGCCATGCATCGTACGGGGCTGTGCTCTTCTTCTCCAAGCACCCACAGCGATCAGCAGAAGCCTGGTGTGTAACTCTCTTTGTATCTTTATGACCTGCTTAAGGCAGTCATAAATGTTATTCATTCCCATAAAACAACTTTCTAGCTGGCTGCATCAGTAACTGGCATCTGATCCTGGCAACACAACTGCCTTAACACATATTTCCTTCTCTCCTTGTTAAATGTGTTGCTTTTTCAGTTTCATCCTAAGCCATCTTGGTTAGTTTGGCTTATTAGCAGACACATTTCTGGGCGCATTTCACTTTATTACTGTAACATCCACGTTCTTCAGAAGTTAAATGAGATGGAAACGGAGCTAAAATTGAGCCCTAACCAAGATCGAGGGTATTAGCTCTGATCTCTGGTTTTCAGGAAAACACATCTATGTTCCACCAGCTCCCTCAAGGTTGGCTTGAACCAGCTGCTGTGTATGTTGGAGTTCTCTCCAGGCTGCACATAATGTCTAACCCGAACTGCTCTTCCAGCAGGGAAAAGTTATGATCCTTGCTAGGGCAGAATACGTCTGCACTGACAGTTTCCCAAGTGGCTGGAATTTGGCATTTCTGGCATTAGATAATCAGTGGCAAAGTTGGAAGGGAAACCACCACTCTGCTAGCTATGTAAATATATAAATATACATATATACATACATCATACATATATTTAAAGACATCCATTAAATGTACAATGAAGGGAAGTTTTGGGCAGTGAATTTCAAGGGAAAGGAAAAAGTGTAGTATTTAACTGTCAGAAATTCTGCCCTGTAGTTCATCTCAGTCCCTTTGCACACTGTTGGTCATGCAACACATCCTGTTTGGAGTGGAGCATCTCCAGTAGGCAATTCATTCTGCTTTAGATGTGAACCAGTGTTGGACCTGAGTTGGTGGAGACAAAATCTATTGGTGATATTCTGGGTGCTCAGGTAGCTCAGATATATCATGTCCTTGAAGGTAGAGGCATGAGTCTTGGGACAGTAGAAATATCACCTGACTGCAGGTCTCTACAGTGTGGACCTCATGGTAGTCCTTCAGAATCCTTCTCCAAATCATGGAAAGAAAAAGCCATGTTTAAGGAATAATTAGCCTGGTGAGCTTTTAAGATCTACAGTAGGATAAGATGACTCATGCCCTAAAAGTGCTAATTTTCTACTCTGGCTATAGAGGGAACCCAGGCACCGAGCTCGGATGCAGACATCTGGACTGCATAAGCACAGAGCTGGGTGAGATGAGTCCAGCCCTTAGCACTTGGCACCAGAAACTTGTGAAAACTTATCCCAGAAAGCCTATCAGCAACTCTCAGGAATGGGCTGAAATGCAAATCAGGCAAGAGGCCAAAGCAGCTCGTCACTAATAGAGTAAAAATGATAAATACTCCAGCACAGTATGTCCCAGCAGCAAAATAAGCAGGCAGGGTGAGGCAGATGAAATGAGAGAGGTTCACAGCCTGAGATTCAGGCAAATGAGGAATGCTCCAAGTCTCTGAGATATGCTCTACCATGGGGCATCATCTCAGTTTTCTAATCAGAGGTGCTGAATGATGCTTCAGAGGCCTTGAGATACTTCACCTGGCTCTCCAGAAGGATGCACGTATCATCTCATAGGTCCTCCAACACATCATCTAAACCTGTATAGAGGTCTTGAGCATCTTTAAATGATCTGGAAACCTACACTGAGGCACTTGCATCTCATCACAGAATCCCAGAATTGCCTAGATTGGAAAAGACCTTTAAGATCATAGAGTCCAATCATTAACCTCACAATGACAAATCCCCGACTAAACCATGTCCCTCAACACTATGTCTAGACAGTCATTACAGACAAGTCAGGCATGGAAGAAATAACCACCTACAAGTTGGGATGAGAGCTGAATTCAGACTGAAACTCACCGTCGTTGTGAAAAAAAAGATGTGATACAATGAGATCACATTATTACAGATGGCCTGAAATGATCACCATTAGAGAAATGGATTTGTAATGCAATGAGAAAGAAATTCACTTCGTGGAAGAGTGAAAAATATCCACCAAACTGTCGAGAAATGAAGGACCGTGGCCCCATTGGGGAGAACTCAGTAAATGGCAGCAATGGCTGTTTCCTGTCGAATGAGCTGAGCTTCAGGGAGCCCGCCAAGAATAAAAATGCAAGATGCAATAAGGTGTTTTCTGAACATCTCCCAGGCCTGAACTTCATGCCTTTCCTTGTGAGAACCTATAATTGGAAACATCTCCAAGTGCTGGGAGGAAAAAGTAAAGGGTAATGGAGATGGAAAAGAAAACTCACAGTTACTGGAGTCACTTGCCCAGACCAAAAAGTGCATTTATAAATCACAGATCAGGAATGTGAGAGGCTTATTAGGTCATCTAGTCCATGCCATGACAACCCAGGTTTGCTCAGTCTCTGTCCTACATTCAAAAATGTCTTCTCCACCTTTTGTCACTTTAAGATCTGCCCATGGAAAGGCACCAACCTGCCCTGTTCCCCAGATTCTGGAAGCACGAGGGAAGGATGCCCACCACCTACAAAGGACATTGTCAGGGAAGAAAGTCCATTTATGAGGCACCACAAAGGAAATCACCTTCGCCCACAAGAATCTTGCCCATGGTGGGATTTGATGGTGAGTCTCTGCCCCATCTCTACTCAGTCTCCATTGACCATCAGCACTCAAAGGGAAACAACCAGCCTGAATAAAGCAGTTCTCAGGCAAGAACAACCTTTAGTCCTCAATCTGGGAAAAAAGTCCATGATAAACAACTTTCTTTGGACTCACACCCTTCCTCTAAGAAGCAGCACGTGGGGATTTTATCTGCTGCCACCCTATAAATGCTGCTTTTCACCATTTCCTCCTGCTAACGTCGTGCTCTCCTCCCTTGACTCTCCTGCCCCATCCTTCATTTTACAGAAAGCTGAAGACAACTGAGGGGTGTTTTGTTTTGAGGTTTTTTTAAGTTACATATTTGACCCATCCCTTTAAATAAACAGGCCCCAAACCAAACATCTGCTGTTTTATATATAGCATAGCTTGGCTTTCAATTGGAGTTATGGATTCTGACAGAAAACCATAAACCTAATTACCGAGGAAATGTGATGCATGGATGGATCATGACTTCCGTTTACTATTTTAATTATCTCAGGCAGTTAATAAATTCATTTGAAAACGTGAATGCTCTACAGTGTTAGGTCCTTTGGGAGGTATAGAGCCATTCATGCAGATCTGGGCTCCATGAGAAGATTATTCATTCACAGGAGCAGCAGATTGGGAGAAGTACCTTCAGATCTGAGCAGACATCAATGAAAGCCATACATGGTTTGGTTTATAAGGACCACTGTGGATAGGACACTGCTCCTGGACAAGCCAAAAGGAGAAAAACTCCTTGAATTGAGGAGTGAAGTATTGGTGCCCTTTAAAACACTCTTAAAGAGTGGAAGGATCTTCTCTCTTTCTGATATAGGCTCTCTCTGGAGGGTATCTCCCCACCCTCCTTTGTGTGATACAACCCAAGAAGGTCTCACAGAAGGACTGATGATGAAACCAGGAACTTCTGCTCCAAATTGTCTGTTTTGCTTTCTGCGAAGGTGATCTCTTTTTTATGCCTGTTCTTAAACCCCTCAGTCTTGCAGGGATTTGGGAAAAAAAAAAAAGATTTGGACAAAATGACACTTCTCTGGAGAGTGAAGTGGGCAGTGAACTTGAATAAAGAGAGGCAGCGATTGGGGTTTTTCTGCATTCAATCTCATTAAAGGTTTTTAATCTGCAGAAGTCTCATTTTCTCAGGTTTTCAACTGGAAAAGGCTCACAGGACTCTTATAAACACCTTGTCTGAACTCCTGGTAGTCAGAGGTAGCCCATGACCCTGCCCTGCATCAGTCCTGATCTGGGGACCATAAGCACTGGGAAACTAACCACTACCCCTGGTAAATGCTTCCAGTGGTTCTGCAAAGCCTTTTTAAACAGAGAAGTGGGGTTTATATTGCAAAAGAAAAAAAAAAAAGAAAGAAAGAGGAGGAAGAGGGAGAAAAAAACCCAACCCTGAACTAAAAGCTTAAAATAAAAGCTGCTTTCAGATACAGTGCCAAATCCAGCGCTGGCAGTAGTGGGCACAAGGCCATTGACTTCCAGGCCAAGCTTGACTGAAGTCGATGCCAGCGTCGAGTTGGCTCACCGAGCACCGAGGAAGGCCATGGAGCTTTGTCAAGTTTTCCCGAGCTGTCTACGGAGCGAAGAGCAAACTTCAAAGACCTTGTGTGCCCCCCTCCTTCCTTGCCCCCAGCCCGTTCCCTCCCACCATCCCCATCCTGCAGTCCTTTCACGGCAGCTCATCTAGCAGTCCCTTTGCCAGGCAGACGGTCTCCTTGCAGGCGCCCGTGCCCCAATGTCCCCTCTTCCCCCCCGTCCAGGTTGAAGGAGAGAAGCAGGAGCTGCCGGGAAGCACAAGATTTTTTCCATTTTCTCCCCTGCTTTCTGCTGGCTGCAGAAAGGCTGCGGAGCTGCTCAAGGTCATTGAGCTGGGGGACATTCTGTGTTCATAAAAATGCATGGTCAAGCCATCTTTTGCTCCTGAAGGCTTGTGATTGAACCATGGGAACTGTGCAGAAAAACCATCCTTGTAGCTGGGCATGGTACTCAGATAGGGATGGCTCCAGAAGGCATGAGACATGTCCAAGACACCGCAACAAGGACAGGCAGGGACTTTCCAAAATGACCAAGCTCCACTTAAAAATTATAGGACTGCTAATGCCAACACTTGCTGTCAAGGGCTGATCCCACATGCCACACAAAAAAACCCACTTCACAGAATCCCAGAATTGCCTTGATTGGAAAAGACCTTTAAGATCATCGGGTCCAATCATGAACCCAACACTGACAAGTCCCACTTGCTGCATTTAGCCCCTTTGCAACAACTCTTGAGTTGAGGGTGACACTCAACACAGAGGGACAGCTCAACCGGACAGAGGAGATACCAAGGGAGGCAGAAGTGCCTTGTAAGCTACATCCCAACATCTGCAGACATCTGCAGCATGCACATCTGGCCATAGCTCCCTCTAGTGCTCATCTATTTTTCAGCTCTACTCAAACAAATTGCTTCCACAACCTGCTTGGCCAAACTCAAGCTCTCCTAGGAAAGCTAAAGAGGGTGCAAAAGGAGATGGGTGAGGTGATAGTGTTCATACATGCATTGGCCTTAAGACATCTCCCATTGAAACTGATGGTTGCCTCACCTCCTCAACAGCTGTGATGCAAAACAAGCACTGAGGACCACAAAGCAATGGGAAAAAAAAACTGCTCTAAAGATGGGAAAGTGTTTGCAAAAAGCACCATGCAAAAGTAAGACTCAGGGTTTCGTAAGCATTGAATGGAAAGGCTCCTTCTCCACAACAGCCCTGATCCTGCAAAGAACTGTCCCTACCCTGACTTCACACCCAAGCAGTTCCCTGTAGCTCAGATGGAAGAGGTCAAAATAAGCAGTTTCTCCAGCAGCAAGAGCAGGTTTATGAGTTGCTGACCATCCACACACCAAGCTGGATGCTCAATGGTGCACGCGTCTGCAGCAGGGAAGGGCACGGTGCCGATTTACAACAGCTGGGGAGCTGGACCACAGAACTCATAAAAATAAGCCAAATAAAATAAAACAAATAGCTCCCTTTTACCTTCTCCCCGCTTTAACTAATTTACAGGGGATATTCGTGTTACAGGGAAGTTCCTAAATGGCTGAAAAGTGTGTTTTTCTTCTCCCCCTCCCCTTGCAATTACATCACGCTCGGAATCAAACTTGAATTTCCTATTGCTTTTCATGTCAGTCGCTCCCTGTTCCTTAGAGTTACAAACCCAGCCTGCCAGGCTGGCAAAACTCATCTCCTTATCTTCCCCCCTCCCATCCCAAATCCTCTTTGAAGCTCACTTCTGGCACTGTGCCTACAACAACAGCACAGCGGGCAGACTGCTGAGACAAGTCCACAACCAAAAACATCTCGTAGCACTTTCCTCTCTCTTCATCCCGTCCTTTTCCCCCCAATACCCCCACCCCATTCACAAGAGGGAACGGGTAGGGTTTGGTTGTACAGCATGGGATTGCAGTCCAAAATTACTGCTTGGTATTTGGTAGCATCGATCTCCCTTTGCTAAGAGTTTACACACGTGATTTCCCAGGATGGTCCCCCAGCCCCAGGGATGGCAGCACCACTGTAGCGGGGAAAAGAGGGTGATGGGGAGGAGGAAAACATTGGCCTGTGTTTCCAAAGAAAAACAAGGGAGGGGAAGGGAGGGGGAATTGCAAATGAAAAATAGAAATAAAGAAAACCAACCCAATAATCTTCTGAAATCCCAGCTGGCAGAATCCCAGTTGTGAAGTGCCCTGGGACAGGGAGTGCAGGTCTCTGTCAGGTTTTAAACAGGTGTGAGGGGAGCCCCGGCGGCACATCTGGATGCAGTTCATGCTTCAAATGCCACTTTAATCCTAGCTTTCATCTTCCCCACTTGCTTTTCAATAGGGGGGATATGTCTGCTGGAATGGCAACAGCATCTTTTCTCCAACCGCCTTCCTCTCCACCCCATCCCCAAAAGCAACGCTCGCAGCTTAACCACTTACCAGCCAAAAGGCTGATTTTGTCAGCAAAGATATTAGGGACCTTGCCCTGCCTTCCAGCCTTTTTTCATGTCTGCAGCTTGCCACCATGCTATCAGGTTCACTCTGAAGCTCATCTTGCTCCTACCCTTCAGAGGAACCCAGGCTCTTGGCCGGGGATTTAGCAACTTGCTTAAGCAGGACACTAGTGCCAAGCACGTATGCAAGCTCCTCCACTCAGTTATGGGTCTGTACTTAAATGCCCTGCAAATTCAGGGTGCCACAAAACAGAGTCACAGAATTGCCTCAATTGGAGAAGACCTAGAAGATCATCAAGTCCAAATATATCTGTTCTGCATAGCAATAAAAGTTGCAAAAGAGTCCAGGGTCTGCCAGTCCATGCACATGTTGCTAAATATCCTGCAGAGAGGAGATGCTCACGTTTCTGTAACGTGATGGATATATGCAGAGCTGAGAGCCTAAATACTTGAGGAAGCTGACAGAAAGAAATAGCTGGGCTATGTAATTTAGCTGTGGTGACTTCTACAAGGTGTAAAGCCAAGATGGTGAAGAGTAAATCCAATCCTGACTCTCCTCTACTTCCAAGTTGGTCCTTAGGGAATGGAGACAGCAAGTGAAAGATACCCTAAAGTAGGCTACTATTCCTCCTGCCTGACCATATGCATTTAAACACCCTATGGATGGATTCACCCTGCTTCTCTTTGTGCATATAAAAGGAGGATGTGTTGTCTCAACCAGCTCCCTACAGTCTATGGTATCTCCAGAAGGCATCTCTTGACATTTGTGTTGTATATCTCTCTTTGGAAAGGGTGAATCACCATCTGGAAGGTCCTCTCTTCCCTGGTTGTATGCAGGGCAGTGAAAACATTGGTTCCAACAAGACATCTTAATTTGCAGATATCCAAATTTAACAGAACCTTTACAAAAGGTGGTGGGGGGAGAACCTTAAATGACGATTGGGGCAGTGGAATGGGAATTAGATGTAGCACGGGGTCTGTGGCAGAAGAAGGAGGAAAACAGGAATGTCTTGTCCCAATTTCCCTGCCTAATCCTAAGATCCTCACAACACACCATACCCTGTACAGACTCACTCTGGCATCATATTTTATTGTGCCTTTTCCTTTACGGAAGATGCTTATTTGAGGTTAGCCCACATCCCCGTATTTATTTTGCTCACAGCTTCAAACCAGAGTAGAAAAGACAGATCACTCATCAAAGACGTGAAACCAGATGGGTGTTGGAGGGGCTTGTTTGTTTATTTTGCAGTAAGCAACTAATTGATTGCTTGCTTAAGCAAAGAAATGAGATAGTGATGTTTTCACTTTGTTTGCAGTGATATTACCTCCAAGGAAACTCGATCCAGACTTGACCACACTCCTTGGTATTTCTTCACCCTCCTCCTCCTCCCCACCACCACCTCATTTTTAACACCCTTCATGAAATCCAAAGGTTAAAAGGTCCACCAAAAAAACATGTTATCTGTCAAGCATCCTCTACGGTTGGAGATTGGCGGCATTATCTCAGCTGCCGTCCCTACTGCTCTCAGCTCCTACTCAGCATGACCAGCAGTCCCAGTGGGAGAGTTTCCCAGCATGGCTAACGCTAGAAGCTTCATTAAGTGGCTCATGTGAGCGTTCAAGTGTGTGCCTTTCCTTTGGTATCAATGAGGAGAAGAAAAAGAAGAAAAAAAACAAGCCTAAATCATGCAAGAAAGAAGGTGGAGACATATTGTTAGCACAAGCCCCTAGTACACACACTTGAAATCAATGAATGCCCAGAGAAATGCAGGACTTACTGCTCTTTAAATGGCTTTACAGTGTGCTTCAAATAACAGTTGCAAAAAACAGGTGAGAGACCAGTAATGATTTTTTTTTTTTTTTACATTTACAAAAATCTACAAAGATTTTTTTAAGATGCAGAGAGATAGCCAGGTACTTACATCCATTTTATCCCATAGCAAAGCCCCGTCTGCAGAATCAAAGACAGAAAACCAGCTAAGAAAAATCGCGGACTCAGCTTCATTTTCTTCACCGTCCCCTAGTTGCTAAAGGAAATCAGCTTCTCCAAAGGAAAAAAAAAAAACAAAACAAAACAACAAACAATAAACTAGTCTTCCTAATTTTCTGCACGGTGTATTTCCCTGTAGTTTGGGTGTTGCTCCTCCTTGGAGATGAACAACCTGAAAGGAGAGAAAGAAAGAGCACAAGCTACGGTTAACTCTGAAGTTTAGCGAATCGTCGCAAGAGAGAGAGAGAGAGAGAGAGAGAGATCTATTATCCAAATTGCAAAGGAGTGGTTTATGAATCACGAAAAAGTTTGGATTATCCCTTCTCAGTCCCCTCCCTCGCCAAGCCTTGATACAACCTTTCGAGTCAACAGACAGACAAACCGTATGGCTTGAATTACACCCTGAGTTATGGTCTGATTGTGTGTTTCCATTTAACCCTGCACATGGCAAAACTTCATTCACTGCTTCACTTCTTTTTTTCTCTTCTCCCCCTCCCTCCCTCTCCAAAAGGTTTCTATAACTGCTCAGAAGAAAAAAAAAAGACAAATCTTTAGACAAGTCCAAATCTTCAGCTATTCATTTCTCCTTTCCTCCTCTTCAGATTTCTTTATTCCCCCCCCCCACTCTATTTTCTGCAGAGAAGACTAATTATAAAAACTGCCTTTCCCAACTTCACGCAGGTGCCCGTGCCCTGCAGATGTTTCGCTCTGATCTGTTACAACAAATGTGTAAAAAAAATCTTTCCCTTCTGCTTTCCTTCTCACCTCATTAACTCTGCCTCTCACTTCTTCCAAGTCCTTGGGCACCTGGAGCTCACGGAAAAGGCTGCAACTTCGTAAACATAAAATCACATTTCTGTCTCTCCGGGGAGCAGGCAGGACAAGACAAAACGTCTCAAGGATTTTCCTCCCCACCCCAGCTCTTTTTTTCTTTTTTTCCCTGTTTTTATTTCCCCCTTCTTCAGTCCAAACAAATAAACAAACCAGGTGTGGGATTTAAATTCTTAGAGGGGTCCTCTCTGTCTCCAGGGCATGACTTGCTTATTTTAGCAGTGGTATTAATAGCAGTAAATGTGTTTCCCTTCAGTTATTCACTTCAGACACCGCTCCAGGCTCCTCTTTGTGGTCTTTGCGGTGGTTTTCCACCCCACAAGAAAGCCAATAATAAAATAAACAGAAAAACCTGCCTGTCACATTGCACCTCTGGAGTCTTACAGCCCATCGCATGGCACGCCGGCGTCCCCGAGCTGTGACCATGCATCATAGAATCACAGAAATTTGGTTGGAAAAGACCTTTGAGATCATTGAGTCCAACCATGCCTGTCCACTACTAAGCCATATCTCTGAGCACATAGAAAATGTGAGCACACTGAAAATGCTTCCTCCCCTGTCACCCCCTTGAAGAGGTTGGGGATGGGACTGGGAACAGCTGGAGCAGTTGGCATCACTTTGAGGAACTCCTTACCCTGGGAAAAGCATATCCCACCTGACCCCCAGCTCTGGATTCATCCCAGCTTCAGCTTTCTGCCTCGATACCCTCATTTGGGGAGCAACTGGGTTGGGGGGAAGGAATATTTCTGGGTGTTTTCTCTGCCATCTGCATTGTATTTTTCCATTTTGGCTATTTATTGACTATCTCAACCCCAGTGCCTGGTGTAAACGGTTACTAGTAAAGTGCTGTTATTACAAAGGATTTTAATAACCTCTAGGGGCAAGTTCCCAGCTCCCTTGAAGTCCGAGACAAAACTCTGACTGACTACAAGAGAGGCAGGATTTCATCGCCACGGGTTGTTTTTCTTTAATGCCCGCTCAGATTTAGGTTTGATGTGTCCCTTGAAGGCAGTGCTCCCACAAGCATCCAAACCTACTTCTTATTTCAGAGTATTTCTGTATCTTTTAATCTTTGGAAGCTCTTTGCTTCCCCCTCCCCTTTCCATGAGCACACTGAAAACCTTCAGCTCTTAATCCTACCCATGCCTTTTAGTATCCATTTAGATATTTCAGACCCCTTATCTCTCTCCTGTGAATTGCTGAACAACACAAGAGTCGGGTGTAAAATGTCTCAGATGGTCTCAAACCCTCTTGCTAACCCTGACCAGCCAATATCACTCTCTTCCTTGCCCCCTGCCTTGAAAAAAAAAAAAAAAACAAAAAAACCCCACATTTTGGCTTTTTTTTTTCTTTTTCCTTCCAGGGAGGAATTGAAATGATCTAAACCCCCCTCCCAAACCTACCCCAAGAGCTGCAAGCTTGGCCTGCAATCACCCCCCTGTTATTTGGGGAGGTAATAACACCTTTTTCCACTCAGTCCAGCACAGGTTACGTTTGCAAGAGGAATTTGCAAGAGGAGAGGAGGGAGGGAGACTCTTTGGGGCAGACGTGATGTTTACAGCTCTGGAGAGCTCTGGGTCACTGATCAAACCAGCAGCGAGTAGCCTGCGGTCTCCTAAAAACCGGAGCTGGTTTTAACTCAAAGCTCCTTTTTCTCTTCACCCTGAGGCTGTTTGCAGCCAGCCCTGCTCTTGCAGACAGAAAATGTTCCCATCTGACACCTCCCAGAGTCCGGTCCCGAGGATGGGAATAAGCAATATCAATTATATATAAATGTGTGAGTATCCATCTCATATTTTTCCAACTTTCCCACTCAAGAAGGAAAGACATCCATCCACCTGACCCCTTGCTAGCCTGCAGCTCTCATCAGGAGCCCAGTCACTTGGTTTACGGGTGGCGCATCCCCAGATGACCTGCAGTAAGGATGAGGAGCAGGGACAAGGCATGGGGGTGGTGGAGTAACTTGCAGCCCCCAGGTCTCCTCTCTCCATGCAGCCTCTCCTCTCGCTGGCAGCTCCCAGGTCTCCCCAGTCCCTTCCAGCTCTCTGCACCTCCCTTCTCCATTGCAACCCCTGGGTGTCCCTGCTGCTCTGCAGCCTCCTGGTCTCCTCTCTCCATTGCAGCCCTCGCATCTTGGGTGTCCCTATACCCTTCTCCATCTCCACTCTCCCTTCAGCCCCTGGATGTCCAGTTTCCCATTCAAGCACTTGGGTCTTCCCTCTCCCCTGTAGCTCCTGAGCCTCAGGTCTCTCTATACCCTGTGAATCTCCTTTGCAGACCTTCAGTCTCCCCTTTCCCTTCCAGCTTCCAAGTCTAACCTTTCTCCTGCACCCCACCAGGTCTCCCTGAATCCTCTCCTCTCTCCTGCAGCCTCCAAGTCTCCTCTCTCCTTGCACCCCACTGTGTCTCTCCTCTCTCTTCCATCCCCCCTGAGTCTCCTTTCTCCCTTGCAGCTTCCAAGTGTCCCTTCTCCCTGCACACCACTGGGTCTCCTCTCTCCCTCTGCATCTACCCAGGTCTCCCCTCTCTCTTTCTGTATTCTTCCCCCCAAAGATCTCCCCTCTCTCTCTGCATCTCCTCTGAGTCTCCCTTCTCCCTTGCAGCCTCCAAGTGTCCCTTCTCCCTGCACCCCACCGGGTCTCTCCTCTCTCCCTGCATCTCCCCAGGTCTCTCCTTTCCCTTGCATGCCCCCTGGGTCTCCTTTCTCTCTCTCCCTGCATCCCCCCTGAATCTCCCCTCTTCCTTACAGCCTCCATCTCACTTCTCCCTGCGTCCCCCCTGGGTCTCCCCTCTCCCTTGCAACCCTCCCAGGTCTCCCTTCTCTCTCTGCATCCCCCACCCTGGGGTCTCCCCTCTCTCTCCACCCCCCCACCGGGTCTCCCCTTTTACCTTGCACCCTCCTCGGGGTCTCCCCTCTCCCTCGCACCCTCCTCTCTCCCTACACCCTCCCCAAATCTCCCCCCTCCCCGCAGACCCCTGCTTTTGGCCATCCCGTCCCTCACCCCTTCAATGCTTCGCGATGGGGGGGG